TTGGTGCTTGAGTAAATGAACTCTAAGCAAAAACTGATAAGTTCTTTTAATAGTTAGAGATGTTTAGGCATATAAGAAGCTTCTTTTAATTCTGTAATTAGACTAATAAGATTAGCCCTCTGACCTTATCGAAGGATTGAAGAAAAACTTGGATTTGAAAATATATAACTTTTGATTTATTTTAATATTGGCTTGATTTATATAACATACTGTTTTTATGTACTTATGTATTTATATATATTCTGAATATATAAAACTAATTTAACTTTTCTAATTGTTTCATTTAGTGATCTTTCAAAATGCAGAAGCTTTGTTCTGAGGATTTACTACCATGCATTAAACAAATTTTGAGTTACCAATCATAAATGTATTTGGAAAAAATTGACAAACCCAGTGCCAAAGCCATTTTTCACCAGAGGAAAAAATGACTTGCCATTGCAGACATGAAATTACGATGGAAGCCCAGATTCCTTGGATAATAAATTCTAATTGTAACACCCTCCCCTCTTCTTCCTTTCATGTCCTTCCTGCTGCTCTTGCTACATTCAGCTCATCTGGAGATTATGATTAACTCTTTCCAGGAAACTGATCTTGTAGTTGCAGCCAATGTCTTCTGACCTGGGAAGGAAAGAGTGCTGTACTAAAGCAGATTGGATCAGGATGCCTACTCTGTGGCTTTTGATTCATTTCTTTGGCTGGGATTCTGGCTTGTTGTATATACAGTAGTTACAATGCACCGGAATCACTTGACACAGTAATCATTTACTCTCAACATTTGAGAGGAGACAACTTCTGCCAAACATTGTCCTTCAAGGAAATCCCTGGCTTGTCTTGCCAACAATAATGTCTTTCAGAGAGTGAAGGAAGACAAAATAATCAGCTGTTTCTGTTTGATATTAATCAATAGACTTAGCTGAAATGGAAATAGCAGGTACACTGAAGGGCACTGACTGTGTAAGGTTGGAGTTCCTGATTTTAAGAGAAATAGAAAACTGAGATTAGTCAGACACATATATCTTCAGAGGTGGATTTTAATAAACTTAATAATAATAATAAATAGGATTCTTTGGGAGGAGAAGCTATTAGGAAAAAGACCTCAAGCAGGATGAGAATTCCCAAGGATATGACATTAGAATGCGGTAACCATATGTCCTTCATTATAAAAAAAACAGTCCTTTATTTCAGAAAGTTATCTGTTAGATTTATTTAATTTTATTTATTTTCTTAATTTGTTCTTGAGTTTCCCTTTGTAAAGCAAAGTTATAAACATGAGCCTCTTTTCAGATTTGCTCCCTTTTCAAGTTTGTCCTTTATTTTTCCCAATAAAATATGGCCACTGAAGATTACAAACTATTCCAGTTAAGATAAAAATGGAGAACATAAAAAACCCCAGTGGGACTGTACAAAAAGCTCAGTGAAAATCTAAAAATGAAAAGGAGGACATATCAGAAATAGAATGAAAGCCAGTTCACAGAGGGATGGAGTTAAACTGTGTTAGAAAATGAACACCCAGAGTAAATAATGGTAAGAATAACACACAAAAAGATTGGTATAGATCGATAACATTCAAAAGAAAAGTAAAGACTTTGCGAAGAAGGCAAAATGGTACAGATACTTCAGAAATCGTAGAAGGACCCATCTCAGAAACAGTGTTCCATTTTGAAAATGTGAAAAGCAGGGTGAAGAGGCAAGGCAAAGTTTCACATTGGCAGAAAATTGAAGCGGTACTGCTTGATTTCAAATGACTTTAAACCTTCCGGACTTGGTAAAACCTCTTCCAAAGGTACTAAAGGAGGAATGGCCAAACCCTTTTATAATGTCCCTGAGAAAACCTTGAGATTTGGGGAAGTGTCTGATTACTAGAAATATAGACCCTAACTTCAGAAAGGAGAAAAGAAAGGTCTAGCAAAGTATAGATAGTTGGTCTGACATTGATTCTTGGGAAGGTTCTAGAGCAGGGGTAGGCAACCTTGGCTCTTTTACGACTTGTGGACTTCAATTCCCAGAATTCCTGAGCCAGCCGTGCTGAGGGGAAAGGGAGAGGTTTCCAAGCTGAGCCATGCTGGCTCAGGAATTCTGGGAGTTGAAGTCCACGGGTCATAAAAGAGCCAAGGTGGCCTACCCCTGTTCTAGAGCATATTATAAAGAAATTGACCTGTAAAGGTCTTATTATTACTTATCATTATAGAATTTCAGTGTTATCATATACCTCGGTATGGATTGACGAAGAACTAATTTTGCCAGTTTAAATCTCATTTTTGATTGGTAACTTTCTTAACTGCAGGTGGGTATACTGTGGACATAATCCAGAACCAAGAGAGATCTCATTTTCAAGTTATCGGACATAATTGTGCTCTGTTCTGCATTAGTTGGACCTATCTTGAACACCGTGTTTAGTTCTGTGCTGTGCACTTTAAAAGGGAATCAGGCAAAGAAATAGAAATAATCAGGGGACTGGAAGTTAAGACCTATGAAAATAGATTAAAGGTCCTGGGTACGTTTAGCCTCAAGAAAACATCAAATATCTGAATTATGGGAAGATCAGAAGTTGCTCTCTCTTATTCCAGAATGTGGGCCGTGGAATAGTAGATCTAAATTATAGGAATTGAATGTTAAAAATAGGCACCTTATTGTAAGAGCAGTTTACCAATTATCTGGAGCACTAATAGGCTTCTTTTTACTTAATATGTTTGAATACAAGCTAGATAACCATCTTTCTGGGATGCTCTGTTTGGATTACTGCCCTGAGGATGGCTAGATTTGATGGCCTAAATGGCTGCTTCCAACTTTATGATTCTGAACTGTATGGCACTTTACAAAGTCATTTTTTTTGGTTATAGAAACTGAATGTAGATATTACAGTGACGTTGCTGTCATGCTGGATAGGTCATCTTGGATGGAACCTGCTTCCAAAACCTGAAAATGGAATCACATCTCCTTAGTGGAAAGAATTATATGGAAAAGTAAACCTCAAGGAAAATTGAGAGGTTTTTTTAGATAAGAAAACAAGTAAAGAACTTTGAGGGAAATAAAATTGCTCTCTGGTATGTTCTAAGGTTTGCCTAATTTCTTTTCCTTCTTTGGGCTCTCATTGCCAGAATTATAGCTGGATCCAGTGGCCACAATCTGCTTGTTCCAGATTGTGTATGTGATTCACAATTGTTTACATAAATAAATAGGCTACAAGTCTATTTACTCTTGGCTATTTTTATTATTTTCCAAAGAGCAGAGCTAAAGAGTTGACATTCTTTTACCAACTTGATTTGACCCTCCAGGATATTATTAGTCCTGCCCAGACAGTGGGACCCCTAAGGCACTCCAGACTCTAACCTGTTATGGTCATCACCTTGTTCATTGGTTTCCAAAAGAGGCCCCTCTGACAGCATCTCATTTGAAAACTGCATACTTTGCAATACATTAAAATTTTAAATGTTTTTTTTCTTCTTTACCCAGCATATGATAGTTAGCTGGTTGAAAGCATATACTGTACTTAATTGTAGGGAGCAAATCTTTTAACACAGCACAACATTCTGAAACATCGCTAAAAATACAGTGATGTTTAGAATTTTTGCAAGTATAGTACAGTGCTCTTTGAATCAAGTAGGATTTTAGCTTTTGCTAAAATGCCAAAGATTGATTGCATGTAATGTAATGTAATGTAATGTTATGTTATGTTATGTTATGTTATGTTATGTTATGTTATGTTATGTTATGTTTGTATCCTTTAGATCAGTGTTGACTCCTGGCCCTGACTGGACCAGTCCCTATAGTTATTTCTTGGCAGCATTTTTGTAAGTGTTTTGCCACTGCTCTCTTCCTAGGAATGAGGGAGAGAGTGACTAGCCCAAGTCACCCAGTTGACTTTGTGCCTAAGATGGGACAAGAAGTTTCCTGGGTTCTAACCTGGTGTCTTTAACCTGGCTCTCTGCTTACGGAATATAGAGAATTATTACTGATGAGGCAACAATAATGTGCAGTACATGGTATTTTACAGAGTAGGATAGCCAAAAGTAGGAAGCCCTCCTCCCCACCTGGGGGTGGAGCTTCCAAATCAGAAATGTGATGAATGGAAGAGAAAGAAGATAAAATGCATCAGAAGTAAATATAACAGGGTATCTGTGAACCTGTGTGTAGTACTAGTATATGCAATGACGAGTAAGTATGTCTAATAATCATTAATTGTTGGGAAGAAGAAATTACATGGGGGAGCATGGAGCAGGGTATGGCTGATTAGTTGGCGAAGTGAATAGGAGCAAGTCGCAATATCAGTTCACTGTAAATCATATTTACTTATATAAAAGATAATGTGCACATGGTTCCAGTAGATGGAAACTGCTTTTTATGGTTTAGGCATAGGAATTATGATTTTTATATAAATACAGAAGTCTCATTAGTTCCCCCCCCCCCAAATATCATCTCTTGTATCTTCCTTGGTTGGGTGAAGATCAACATGATTTTCCTCAACCATGTGGAGTCTGTATTTTTACAGGCATAATATATGCTACAACTATAGCACAAAACAAGCAGGTTTTACCTTATGCAGATCCTTCTGTACATGAGCAAGCAGGGGTGAAAACAGTGGGTTTTATGGGAAAACTTGAGTTTGAAGTCTCCAAATATCTCCATTGTCAGTGCCTAACTTCCACTAGGTGGTGCCTATTCTTCAAATATCCCGAAGTTGATTAGTAAAATAAGCAAAACATTTTGTCCTTTAAGCATCCCAACCCCCAAATGCTATTCTGACCTTGCTGGTAAGATAGGAACAGGCTATTCAACATTGGATCTCTTCTTATATCATTGGGACAACAAATGTTAGGACTGGGACATTTTGATAATGAAACTGTTTGCACATCTTTAGAGATTGGCCAATTGCTATGAAGCACAGGGCTGAGATGCCCTTCCCTTGACTGGCTGGGTGTGATTGTTGGAGGAGAGGAGACTTAACTGTCTTGTCTTGTTTTCTTTTCATTTTTTCCTGCATTTCCTCCCTACTCCTGAAGGACCCGATATATCAGCACAGAGCTGGGTATGCGGCAGCGTCTCTTTGTGGGTGTGCTGACCTCAAAGAACACATTGAACTCGCTGGCAGTGGCAGTGAATCGAACACTAGGCCACCGGCTGGAGCGCCTGATCTACTTCACGGGCACCCGGGGGCGCAAGGTGCCCCATGGCATGACGGTGGTGACGCATGGAGATGAGAGGCCCATATGGAACATGTACCAGACTGTCAAATACATGATAGACCATTACCTGTCGGACTTTGATTGGGTGTTCCTGGTGCAGGATGATACTTACGTTGAAGCCCATCGGGTGAACCACCTGGCCTCTCACCTCAGCATCGACACTCTGCTCTACATGGGCCGACCAGAGGAGTTCATTGGTGGGGACACTCAGGGGCACTACTGCTACGGTGGCTTCGGTTACCTGCTTTCCCGAGCTTTGCTCCTGCGTTTGCAGCCTCACTTGGAAAGTTGCCGGAACGATATCTTGAGTGCACGCCCCGATGAATGGCTGGGCCGCTGTATCATTGACTACACAGGAGTGGACTGCGTGGCAGAGCAGGAGGTGAGGCTTTCCTTCCCCTGATGTGGCCACGTCTTGTTTCCTCCTTCTGTGGGGATAGCTTTGCTTGCCTGATATCTTCACAGTCACAGTTTTTGAGAAATGGAAAAGAGGGGAAACCCTTTGCTTTTATCACACGAGTAGAATTCTGATATGCGTGATATGCAGTTATCAGACATCTCCTATTCAAGTTGTTATCTTAAAACCTCATTGGGCTTGAAACAGGAGATGCTTTTGGTGAAACGTGTTTCCTGTGGGGATCTTTTCCCTGAGGGAATGCTACTTAACTATTGTTTGTGTAGCTCTAACTGCTATTTTACTGTGGGCAAAACTTTTCTTTCTGGGTAAAAAGGAGGCAATATTCTGGTGCTGTCTCTCATTGTAAGGGGCCCTTGAGACGTAAAGTAATCAGTACACTTGCCCTTGTGTTTCCAGTGAGACTAAATTAAAAAAAGCACTTTTTAAAAAATTGTTCAGTTCCATCCCATTTCTGGACCAAGGAGTCCAGTCCAAGAACAGGATGACTTGAAGAGTGGTGAAATGAGCAAAAAGCAAAGAACAAGAACGATTTGCCCACTGGATGTTTTTATTCAACAATCAGGAGTGACGTGAGAGAATAGTATGTTGTGAAGTATGTTCTTCGTCATACCTGCCCTCCAACTGAAAGCTGAGCATCTTCTTCAGCAGTCTTTTATTTTGTTAGCAAATCAGAGAGAAATGCTGGTTAGCCTCTGGGTATATTTGCTGGAAAGGCTGAATTTCCAGACTGATGTGCTTCTTTCCCTCTTCTCTGCCAGGGCTTACGCTACCATTACTTTGAGCTTGGGAAGAACACAGACCCTGAGAAGGAGAGCGATCCGCAATTCAATGCTGCATTCACTGTTCACCCAGTGCTGGACCCTCTTCAGATGTATCGGCTGCACAGACACTTTGCTCGTGTAGAGCTGGAGCGCACTTATCAAGAGATCCAGCAACTACAGGTAAGGTGGGCAGATTCCGAGATTCTAGGCCTTATGAGCGACTGACCCAAAGTTCCCTTGACTTTTTTTGACACACGCCTGCTTTCATTCTGCTGCCACGTTAATTTTTCAGAAAAAATCAGTCAGGTTGAGCAGTACCCATAAGAGAACATTCTTCTTTAACCTGGTGGACTTCAGCTCCTGGAATTCTTCATCCATTGTGCCATTTTGTGGAATTCTGGGAATCAGAATTCCACACCTCTGAGGAATTGGGAAAAATTATAATCAAAGCCATTCATCTCTCATATCTGTTAAGATAGAGTTAGATAAGCTATCCTTTGGCCAGATCTCAGGTTCACTTTGTTCCTTCTTCTTCTAAGAAGAGGAAAAAAAGAAGAACAGACGATGTTGGGATATGGAAAAAAGATGAGAGAAAATTAGTGCCATCCATTTCTGGCTCTGGTTTTGATTCTGGCTCCGATAATTGTTGGTAATTCTGCCGTTTCCCAGCTACTGAAAATGTATCTTCTCTAATGTGGGCAGTGTCAACTTGCTTTATTTTTTTGAACCCATAGAATGTTGGAAATAAATTATTTAAAGGGACTATCCATCTATCTGTTTGTCCGGTAGCAAAGTATAGGTAGTCCTTGATTAATTCCAACAATCGGGATCTCTTAGTAGCCACAATTCTGGCAATGTGATGGCATAGTGATGGCAATTCTGGCACTCCCCGTTGCCATTGTTAGGCAAATTACCCGCAGGTCATTAAGTGAGGGCATCATGTGGTCTCTCTTTGCAACCTCCTGCTGGCTTCGCCACTGATTTTGCTTGTCAGAACCAACAAGGAAAGTTGCAAATGGTGATCCTGTGATGCGGGAATACTGTAACAGTTGGAATTCTGAGGACCTGTTATGAGTATCCATGTTCAGTGCCATCGTCCATTTGAATGGTCACTGAACAAGTGGTTGTTAAGCCGGAGCCACCTTTAATTCTTCAAAAACTGAACAAAAGAGGACCAAATTTGACATATTAAAGAAACACTGAGTTTGAAAATGATCTGGATCAAGCTAGGGAGAAGGGAAATGCAGAAAAAGTCCTTCCGTGGATCCTTGTGGGAGAGGCAGTTAGGCGCCAGCTCAGAATGTTGCCTTTGGGTCTGGTCTGAACCCGCTTCCTCCGGTCTCTGCATCTAGAGTGAAGCTGCTATGAAAGGGCTGGAAAGAATTCCAGAAGGCACATTTGACAAGCTTGTTCTTTCTAAACAGAGAAATGTTGACATCTATATTTTCTTCTCTTCTTTTTAGCTTTCCTTATCCCGTGCTACATTCTCAAGTCATTAAGCAGTACAGTTAAGAGATTATTTTAGTCTTGAATGGCAGATCGGTAAATTGATCTCTATGACCACCCGAGCTCTGAATTCTGAATGGTTGCTTTTCCCCTACAAATCGGCTATACAGGAGAAAGGGTCAGATTTTGAAGGAAAATATGGGGTTTACTTGCTTGCTTACGGGCTTCATTTTTCTCCTGGCCACTGTTTCTTGCAAAAGCCTTCCTTCTCTGCAAATCCTTTTCTTCTACTCAAATTACATTTGATATGCTAACTAAATAACAGAGGTCTTCTAGTCCAATGGTCCACAACCTTTTTGAATTGGCAGCCCGGCAGTGGGGAGGGGATGGTTCTTGTGAATGGCAGGCATTTGCATTTGCACCCATCACTTACAGAAGAGGAGCTGCACGCACGGTCACCAGCCACTTGCACAGCTGAGTTCCAAATGGGCCATGACCGGGAGTTGGGAGCCCCTATTCTAGTCCAACCCCTGTTCAAGCAGGAAACCTATACCATTTCAGACAAATGGTTATTTAATCTCTTCTTGAAAACTTCTAATCATGGATTGCCCACAACTTCTGAAAGCAAGTCATTCCACTGATTAATTGTTCTAACTGTCAGGAAATTTCTCCTTAGTTCTAGGTTGGTTTCTCTCCTCAATTAATTTCCATCCATTGCTTCTTGTCCTGCCCTCAGGTGCTTTGGCTGCCTCTTCTTTGTGGCAACCCCTGAGATATTGGAACATTGCTATCATGTCACCCCTTGTCCTTCTCTTCATTAAACTTAGACATACCCAATTCCAGCAACTGTTCTTCATATGTTTTAGCCTCCAGTCCCCTAATTGTCTTTGTTCCTCTTTTCTGATTTTTTTCTAGAGTCTCATATTTAGGGGGAAAGTTTTTATTGTTGACTTGCAGGGATAAATGAGTAGGCAGAAGATGGCTTGACTTTCCCCCCCTCTGCCCCCACTATGTAGACACATAGTGAATCAACAACTTTGGTCGCTGATGGACCAACATGCACATTTTCAGTTGATGTTGGCTTCTGAAAGTTTAAATGTATTTGCTGACATTTCATTAAGGGACATGTTAGTTCTTTTAAAAATATGGAAATTAAAACAAAAGTGTCCTAGAATTTTCCCCATAATTATTTGTCCCATTGAATCTTACTGTGCATTCTTATAGCAGTTTCCTTATTACACATTAGGCAAAAGAAGAAGGTAGAGGTTAGCTTGCTTCAGGAAATCTGCCAGATGAGTCCAGACAGGAGTCTGTTGTTGCTACTTTGACTGCTGAGCCCAGCGCTGGCTACTAAAATTAATCTTGACTCATAGTCTGCAATTGTGAATTCTAGAAGCAAAGAAGTTTTTGGCCTGACTTAGGCCTTCATCACTCTGCTATTAGTCTTTTAGTTTATATAAAACCAGCAAAATATGAAGACATGAACAAACGCGTGCAAAATATGGAATCAAGACATTGTCAATTGTAATACATCATATTTCATTTAATAGTATTAAACTAATATTTTTTGCTGTTACAGGTTGTTTTTTTCTATTGCTGTGAATTAATATGGGAGACTGCTGCCTTAAAAATAGAGTAAGAGGAAGAAAGAAAGCATATCCTTTTAGGGAGATTGTTTTCAGTGGGGAATAGAAAGAGAGCCTGCTGCTTGGATGAATGAAGTCTTTGAAAATCCCTTGTGAAGGAAGCAGGGCTGCATTCAGTTTTCACCAAGATAAGGTGTAATCTCTGACCATTGGTTGGTATCTGTGTAGATAAACTATAAGGGCAGATTATTTTACTCTAAATAGTCAAAGGGCCTAAAGACTAAATCATAGGAGAAGCCAGATATATCTAGCCTATGGAAGAGAAGGATTAGAAGGATTAGGGCAGTGGTTCTCAACCTTTTTAATGCCGCGACCCCCCAACCGGTCATAAGTTGAGGACTACTCAACCGGTCATAAGTCGAGGACTACTCAACTAGTGCAGCACCATTTGCAGACTGGGACTTTTGGCGGGCTCAGCAGGGGAGAGACAGCCTGGACAATTCCTATTGGCTTTTGAAAGCCAATAGAATTAGACTCTATTCAAGAGAGTCTACTCTATTGGCTTTCAAAACCCAATAGAATAATAGGGAGTAGCACAGCTAAGGAAAAGGGGGAAAAAATGGCGGACTGCATTGTTTGGCGACCCGCATGAAATGGTCGTTCGACCCCAAATGGGGTCCCGACCCACAGGTTGAGAACCACTGGATTAGGGGGAGATGATAAGTATCTTTTAGTTCTTCTGGAGCTGTGACAAAGAAGAGAGAATGGACTTATTCTTATTCTACAGGGCATAAGAGGGCATAAGTAATGGATAGAAGCTTGTCAAAGAGAGATCCAACTTAGGAGAAATTTTCTGACAGGGAGACCAATTAATCAATGAAATAGCTTGCCTCCTGGGGTTGTGGATGGTCCATCACTTGACATTTTCAAGAATAGAGGGGACAACCATTTCACTGGGATGGTACAAGTCTCCTGCCTTGAGGAGATGGGCGGTCTAGAAGATGTCTGAAGTCCCTTCCAGCCTGTGATTCTATACCTCATTGTGTCTGATCCTAACTAAATGAATCTGCTACATTTAATAATTAGAATATATTAATTGGGCAGTTAACCAAAATCCAAATGCTATGATGTTTTCCCTGAATTCCGAAAAATAGTTTCCAAAGGGGTAATAAATGCCATCGTAAACTCCCTCTGGTAAGTGTTGTGCTAATTTCACTCCTAACTTGGTTGCAGAGTAAGATATAATTTATGGGTCCTTCTCCTTCTGTTTTAGATCTGGCTCTCTTTCAGGTAGGAGGGGAGGCAAGGTTGAAGCATTAAAGGATCTTGAAGTTCTGGTGCTAATGTTGCGTCTAGTCTGTTCAGGGAGTTTTTATGTCTAGACCAACTATTTGACAGAAATGTACACCCAGAGGATTGTATAATAACACAGGCAAACACGTTGTGCAAGCTTTGATGGCAGAGCTGAGCCTCGGGCCAGACTAAATTGGAATTATTTTTGAGGAATCACTAATTTGACACGTGCATGCCATCGTAATAAGCATTCAGTAGCTAATGTGGCCTAAATTAAATGGAATATACCATAAAAACCAGACAGTGGAATTTTAGTGCCATGGAATTGAAGACCTATAAAAGGAGGCTTGCCTTTAAGGCTTGGTGTCTCAAAAATCAAAGCCTCCATATTGTTCGCACTGCAGGAGATGGCTATAGGCTTCTGCAGACTTTGATGGATGTTTCACAATGAAGGTAGACGGTTGGATCGTTTGGGCCTCATGGAGGTTAAATGATTCCTAATCCGTACTCAGTAGTTTCCTGCCCAGTTGATACAAAAATCAAATGTATACATTTGTCTTGAAGATATCAAAATATGACCCTTAACTATTTTGAGCATTGCACCTAGCTGAATGTATCATGTGCCTTTCCCTTGCATACTCAGAGTAGTCTGTGCTATAAAAGCAGAGAAAATAATAGCTCATGGAAGCAGAATTAAGTAAAGCAGTGATTGAGGCACAGAGAATGAGAAGAAAGTGACCTGTTCGCACATTTTGTCACTGGGTATTTAAATAATGCACGTTGATCCAAGAAGCATATATCCATATAGACCAGTGGTTCTCAACCTGTGGGTCGGGACCCCATTTGGGGTCGAATGACCATTTTACGGGGGTCGCCAAACAACGCAGTCTGCCATTTTTTTCCCCTTTTCCTTAGCTATGCTACTCCCTTTTATTCTATTGCCTTTTGAAAGCCAATAGAATAGACTCTCTTGAATAGAGTCTAATTCTATTGGCTTTCAAAAGCCAATAGGAATTGTCCAGGCTGTCTCTCCCCTGCTGAGCCCGCCAAAAATCCCATTCTGCAAGCGGTGCTGCACCAGTTGAGTAGTCCTCGACTTACGACCGGTTGAGTAGTCCTCGACTTACGACCGGTTGGGGGTCACAGCATTAAAAAGATTGAGAACCACTGATATAGACCAACATTGCTGTGATTAAGCTTTAGGGGAATTGTACACATTGGATAAGTTAAGAATGAAATTACAGCTTGCAGAAACGTAATCTGGACCACATTTTCAGTCAAACGGCAAAGAAAAATTGTGCTGCGTAGACATTAGTTTTGAATGCAAACGTCCCAGGCTCAGTCAAGACAATTCCAGAAGGAATAGAAGTTTTAATGGCCATTAACTGTAAACAGGATTGAGTTAGAAAAAGTGATTTGGTTTAAGGCTTCTTTTTAGCCTCCAGGATAGTGTGTGTGTGTGTGTGTGTGTGTGTGTGTGTGTGTGTGTGTGAGAGAGAGAGAGAGAGAGAGAGAGAGAGAGAGAGAGAGAGATTTGCATATTTACTGTATATATGTAATACGTAAATAATATTTGCATATTATTTACTGTATATACCGGTATTGGCTATTGTGAATGAATGATGTAGCCAGTTTCCACCCAAATACACTTAAGCTCTTACTTCTTGGGAAAAAGTATCGGATAAATGTGCTCCCCAGAATTGAACTCTGATTGTGGACATGCTGCCACCAGGTGGCAGAGCAGCATAAGGCTGCAACCCTAGGTGTTTTCTGATCCTTCTTTCCTACTACTGGTATTAAGTAGAGAAATTCAATGGCCAGTATGGGGAGGGAATTGTTGGAAGTGGCTTTCAATCTGGGACATTTGAATTGGAGTCAGTGAGTAGACTTGGGGTAAAACTTCATCTGTCAGCCTTTTCTTCCCCTCCTCTATGTTGCAGCAACAAGTTTGGGGGAGGGGTTAGCACCCAGATCAGTTAAGGCGAGGTCCCTGGGAATCAGCATGGATATATCTGAGTCAAATTCTTAGGGCCCTTTTGGGGTTCAGCCAAGCAAATGTTTCTGAACTTACCTTAATTTTCTTATCTTGTTTTTGTAGCTGGAGATCCAGAATACCAGCAGCCTTTCTGCAGATGGGGAGCTGAGTAGCTCATGGCCTATAGGCATTCCTCCACCTTTCCAGCCAAAGACCCGGTTTGAGGTGCTTCACTGGGATTATTTCACTGAAGAGGCGGCTTTTTCCTGCGTGGATGGGGCCCCCAAGTGTGAGCTCCAGGGGGCAGATGCAGCTGATGTAGCTGACGTGGTTGCTGCAGCAGTGGAAGAGCTGAACCGCCGATACCAGCCAGTGCTACATGTGCGCAAGCAGCAGCTATTGAATGGCTATCGTCGTTTTGATCCTACCCGGGGCATGGAGTACACCTTGGATCTGCAGTTGGAGGTGGTGACCCAGAAGGGGCATAGCCGTTCTTTGGTCAAACGCGTGCATCTCTTGCGCCCTCTCAGTGAGGTAGAGATTATCCCTATGCCCTATGTAACAGAAGCCAGCCGTGTCAATGTCATCTTGCCCCTGACGGCCTCAGAGAAAGACTACGCTGCTCATTTCCTTGATGTCTACGCTGCAGCAGCCTTTGAGAATGCCGAGAATGCTGTGTTGACCTTCCTCTTCATCTATGATCCTTTTGAAGCCCAGAAGGTGGCTCAGAATGATGTTTTTGGGGCCGTGAAAGCACACATCACAGAATATGAGCGGCGCCACCCTCAGGTGAAGATTCCTTGGATTAGCGTAAAGACGGATGTGCCCTCCCAGATTAAAGTGATGGACATCATCTCCAAGAAGCATCCTGTAGATACGCTCTTCTTTGTGGCCGGAGTGAGCACTGAAGTCACCACTGAGTTCCTCAACCGGTGCCGCATGAACACTATCAACAGCTGGCAGGTCTTCTTCCCCATCCATTTTCAGGGCTACAACCCCACAATTGCTTTCCACAACCAGCCTCCCCCACTTTCTGGCTTAGACCTAGTGCGTGATGCTGGCCATTTTGATCGCGAGGTTTTCAGTGAAGCTTGCTTTTACAATGCTGACTATATGGCGGCACGCACCCGGATGACAGTCGATGCCCAGGACAATGAGGATCTCCTGGAGACCATGGACATCTATGACCTTTTTGTCAAATATTCCAATCTGCATGTCTTCCGTGCAGTCGAGCCTGCCCTTCTGCAGCCCTTCAGGCCCCAGATCTGCAATCCCCGGCTGAGCGAGGAACAGTATCACCGTTGTGTGCAGAGCAGCTTGGAGGGCCTGGGCTCCCGGTCCCAACTGGCCATGGTGCTCTTCGAGCAGGAGCAGGGCAACAGTACCTGAGGCCAAGCTCTCCCCTGCCTCTCTCAGCCCATCCGCTTCCCTACCATCACTTCCTGAAATGGCAGAGGAGAGCTAAATATGACTGCTTAAGCTCTGAACCTCGGGGGTCCCGGCTGGCTTTACAGATGGTGGAAGAAAATGGAAATGGGCGATGTCTGGTCCCACCCCAGGGCTGTCTTGCTCTGTTTGGTGAGGAGAAGTTCAATCTCTCTCCCAGGCATGAGGGCCAGCAGGCAGGATGGCTCAGGGCCCCAGTTCCTGCCTGGTGGCTGCCAAGACAGCTAGAAGGGTTTTCAGAAACATCAGCAAAAATGGGGATGTGTTGATGTGGAGGAGGCTGGGTGTCTGGTTTGTGGGACTACTGGGGGATGGAGTGCTAGCCGGCCCCCTCAGGATTTCTCAGTTTGGGGAGCAACTAAATCAATCTCCTGGACTTTGGTTTGCAGCTCCTCATTAAGTGGGTGAGAGGGCTGAGGGATTCCTGTTGTATTTTATTTGTCCTGTCACACTCTTCATGGAAACCATGACTCGGGCTGCTTTAGCCGCTGCTTAGGATCAAAGGGGAAAGGGAACGATCGCAGCTCTTGCAAGGAGAGCTCAACTGCCCCTTAGGTCAGGCTGGCTCTGGCTCTGAGGGGTCAAACCCCATTTCTGCCCTGGCCTGCTGCCATTTTGTTGTCTGCTGTTGTCTGCAGTTTTGTGTAGTTGCTATCTTGCAGCCTGATGCCCTTGCCCAGAACTCAGAAGGGCATGTGTGGGCCAGCCTGGCATTGGATCAGGGAGCTGGCAAGCCCAGAATAGAGGGAAGAGATGGAGCTTGGCTCTCCAGTGGGATTATATTTAACGTGGATTCAGTGATTAAAAAAAAAAAACCTTACATTTTAATAAACTGGAGTGAAAAGCAAGGTGTGTGTTGATAATTTTTCTGTTATGGCTGTGTATATGGCAGAGAGATATTGGGGAGCAGATGGGGACTATTTCTACAATGGAACTTCTGAGAAATCAGTGTGCGCTCCCTAAAACTAGAAAAGAGCAGCTGGATCTTTTAAATGAAAGAGCCCAAAAAGAACAGCTGTGAAATTAGCATCTTAGGTTTTACTATATGTCTAAAAGTATGGAAGAACAGAGAAAGCTAACTGCTGCCTATAAATTGCAGCCACCCTTTGGCTATGCAGCTCCAATTTTATAGAATATTCTCCATGCCTATGATTTCCTGTTGGAGAATAGTTATCGATAGAGTAGTCAATGAGAAAACTAAAAATGGAATTGGAAGCTCAGTTGTAATGGGGCGGTGAGTCCACAAAAAAGCCTGTGGATGGAAAGAAAGGTCATAGCAGGAATATGAAGGGCTGGGTGGAAGATAGATGAAAACACTGGAGCTGAAGGAAGAATACTCAAAGAGGAAAGTAGGGGATTTCCAGGCCCCACCTTCCGACATGCTGCAGTGAAGAACACCCAGGAATCTCAGGAGGCATTCAAAACATCACTGTGTTACCCAACAGGAAAATGTTATGTCAGTTTAGAACGGGTAGGCAGCCCAAAACACTCAAAGAGCCACTTGGACCATGACGAATGAGACTTCATCGAAATGTCGCCAAGACACTTCCAATTTGACGCGGGAGAAAACCCGAATAACGAAAGACCTACATACAAACACCCGTGAAAACCTCAGAAAACATATACATACATACATACATATCTATATATCTATATCTATCTATCTATCTATCTATCTATCTATCTATCTATCTATCTATCTATCTATCTATCTATCTATCTATCTATCTATGTTTTCTGAGCCTATATATATAGGCTTCAAGCTGTTCTCCAACAAGCTCAGGGGTAGGCAACCTCGGCTCTTTTATGACTCATGGACTTCAACTCCCAGAATTCCTGAGTCAGCATAGCTGGGCTAGCTAGCTCTCTCCTGCCCTTCCTGTTTCCTGCTTGCTGCAGAAATGCAGCAAAGGGAGGAGCTCTGCCCAATAAGCTTTTCAGTTCCTCCAAGAACGCCGTGAGTCCGCTCTCTTTTTTACACACAAACATACACAGAGAGAGAGAGAGAGAAGGGAAGGCAGGTGCCTGTCTCTCTCTCTCTGCAAATAGCAGAGGAGGCTGGGAGCCGCAGGGGAAGGCTTAAAGAGCCACGTATGGCTCCGGAGCCGCAGGTTGCCGACCTGTGGTTTAGAACAGTGGTTCTTAACCTTTTTGAATGAATTGCCCCCTTGAGCCAATGAGGAAGTTGTCATCGCCCCCCTCCCCAACATAACCCCTCAATCACAACAGGAAATAATTCAATTTATGCAAACACTTTTTTTGTTTTCTTTAAAATTGTCGTCAGGACATATCGATGCAAATAATTTATTTCCAGTCTTTTTCCCATATCTCCCATATTCTGGCTAATGGCGCGCCACTGTATGGGTAGAGGCTGCTGCGCAACGTGCATGAAGATAAGCGATTGCGTATTCACATATGTACGGCGTTCTGTACTGAAGCTAGCTGGAGGAACATTTGAAAACAATTCAATCCACTAAGAGCGAGCGATCTGATGTTTTTGTACGACAGATATACAGCCATTCACTGTATGAAAAAGTCTCAAAAGTGTCCCCAAAACTTCTCACTCCATTGCCCCCATATCACCCCCTTTTCATTCCTTCGCCCCCTGCGTCACTCCTTTTCATTCCATCGCCCCCTTGAAAAATGAAATCACCCCCTGGGGGGCGATATCGCCCAGGTTAAGAACCACTGGTTTAGAAGCACCAGTCCTGTAAGCTTCCCTCATCATACACATACACTTTCTTTAGATTTGGGGAACATATACACAATACTGGAGTTTAAAAAGAGAGATTATATTTGTCACAGCCTCTTTTGGGTGCCGCTGTGGCTTTCCTGCTGTAGATGTCTTGTTCCAAGATTCTGTAACACAGTGTTTTAAAGCTATACATAATCTGGGTTAATTGTTGAGAGCTTGCATCCATATATATGGGGAATTCAACAAGCTTATGGATTAGGGCGCTGAATAACTTAAGCTCAGGGCTGGAGATAGAGCTGAATCAGTGCTATTCAGTGTAGTAGAAAACACAAAATTAAATTTTCTTGGAACAATTTTGTGTGCTGGAAGGAAAGCCGCGGCTCATCCATATGACCACAGATGCTCTGAACACATTTAAGAACCTGCAGTGCCAGCAAAAGCAAGTTGTATAATATATATGAGAATAAAATCTTTTTACCTGGCTTGACTCTTGGTGTCTTCACAGAGACATCTATGTCATTTTTATGCCAGTAGTAATGAAATAGTTTGCCACTGTCTTCTCCCAGGATAACTTTTTTTTTTTTTAATTACCAATCTAGTTTACAGTTCTGTTATTTTCCAGTGGTCTCTTTTGCAAATACCAATCAAATCGAATCCTGGTTTATCTTTCTGGGATTGACCAAGGCGTCTGACCACTGTAATGAAGCCAAAGTAATCTCTAATTTTCAAGTGGAATGTATCTGTGTATATCTTGCATCAAATTCAGAATCGAGTGGAAGGCCAGAGTTGATGTAAAAGTCATTGGGACACAATTAGAACACTTTTCATTTATAGGCAAATTGGTTAATAGATCAGTACTCTATTTGTTTAACAATCTTGACAACATTTTAGAGAGCTCATTATAAACATTTCTTTCATATTTACTGTTCAATGTTTGTTAATATAGGGAAATGTAAGGGCATCCTGTCACCCAAATAAAGAGAGGAATTTAAAATGCTTCTGTTTTGTCTGGCTTCATTTCCAATATTGATCTTATGTGAATTGATGAAGACCCAGCTTGTTCTTTTAGGAGTCCTTGAATAGATCCGTAAGCCCCTTTGAAAGGGTCCTAAGGATGCTCTAAGGAAGTTCTAAGGATAAGCAACTTCTCCAAGTATTAAATTGGAGTTTTCCAAGGAATATCATGGTTGAAGGAAAGAAAGATCTTTCTGAAAGACAACTGTAGCCAGCCACTTCTATTTCTTTTCTAGGAAACTTACATGGATACATTGGATGCCAAGCTCAACTTGAGAGCTATTTTCACCTTTTTTAAAGGATCAGGATGGTGTATTAACTGAATATTGAACATGTTTTGATTTACCCCAAATAAACACTTAAGTCCACAATTAGACAAAGGCCATTTCTGCTACTGAATTTTAGGTACTGCTAGTAAGAGCTGAAAACATCCAGTTACCACTGTTCCCTTCACAATGTTTTTTTTTCAAACAGGTATCAGTTGGTAGATCCAGCCTCATGAAGCTTCATCTCTCCTTTTTCCAGGGACTGAGGTCTGGGTGACAGAAGCAATTTAGTGCTGTTAAGTAATTGTTGAATAATCTAAACCGATGGTGACATTTGTAACCCATCACTAAATGCTCAGGTGAGCTCAAGTTGACAAAGTTAGCCTGAGAACTGGTCATTTCTTTTATGTGTTTCCCCAATTCTACTCTAGTGTAAATAGTTTACTTGTCTGTGTCATTTAAATCTTTTCATATGTGAATCTTTTGAAAAGGGCAGATGCCAGCATGGCGTATTTCACATTCATTTCTGGTTCATAACAGCAGAGATTTAATTAACCTGTAGTTAAAAATAAAATACAGATTGACAATGGCACTAGCAATAGCACGTAGACTTGTATACTGCTCCATAGTACTTTATAATATTCTTGAGTGGTTTACACAGAATCAACATATTGCCCCTAACAATCTGGGTCCTCATTTTACCAACTTTGGAAGGATGGAAGGCTGAGTCAATTTTGAGTCCATCAGGATCGAACTCCAGACTATGAATAGAGTTACCCACTGCGCTATCAGTGAAAGAACTCCAATACAAAATAAAATAAGAGGATAGTTAACAGAAATAATTAAAAGATGTCCACAATTAAGATGTTTGTGGGGTTGTTTTGATGCAGAAAACTGAAATCTGGATTTTTACACTGGACTCATTTGTAATAAATATGGAAGAAGAACTACCCAAGGGCCCTGTGTGCAGATAGCTGGACCTCAACATTGATTCATATTATGCCACCTCCATCAGGTGAAGGAAGGAAAACCTTGTATAAATGGAACATAAATTGTATTTGAAGCAAACGCCTTTCTTAGAACAGTGTAGGACTGGGTTCAAAGCATATTTGCAATTTCTCAGGATTTCTAAGCCTACTACTTTAGGCTTGTACGTTGTGCCTAGTAATTTTATTAAATGCATTTTTTTAAAAAAAATGAGGTTCCTTTCAATTTACACTAAGCTGTTAAGGGGAGTGGGCAGCACAAACATGTTCTGGTGACCTCTCTTTGCTGGATAAGTTTAAGGAATGGATGTACAACTTATCTGCTGAAGACTCTAAACTTGATTCCTGCAACAGAAGGACTTGTGGGATCCTTTAAAATGATTAAGGCTCAAATAAAATCTATAAACTTATGGAGTAGTCCAATAGTTGCAGTTGTCAGTCCAGCACTCATTGTTAATTCTCCAGCATCACTTGTGGTTTCTGTACTATAAAAGCACTTTGCATAGTGAGGGAATTGATCCCTGCTCTGTGCTGTCATTTTTCTTAATAGACTTAGGCCTTCAGAATGGATTCTTTGAAGAACCAACTTACCTGAGCATAAGGCTGACAGAGCTAAGATGAATTAGCCTATCAAATCTTAACAATAAAAAAATAAAAGCTATTTAATAGTAATGGTTCATTTCAGCAACTTAGTTGTTAAGAGAAACTGTCACTAAGTGAAACCATGACTGTATTTAGGATCTTACTTCAGCTTTCCTTTACCTTATAGACCTGCAAAAGTCATAAATGTGAGGGCTGATTGTAAAATTACTTTTTCATCACCGTCATAACAGTGAATGGTCACTGTCCAAGGCAGTTGCAAAACGAGGATCGTTTTAATACAGTATTATTAAGCAGATTTTTTTTCTCCAAGTCTGTAAGGTGGTCAGGCTATGTTTTAAAAAGAAATTAGGGGGAGGATAGGAAATAAAACTGGCCTGTAAGCCTTAGTCTCTCCTGAGGAAAAAATGAACGTTGTTATTGCAGGGTTATGAAACTTGGAAAAGCACCTTTATTGACCAAAAAACTCAAGAATGTATGCAAAGGGTGCTCTTGTCTTGCCAAAATGCTTTTAGGGTTAGGGTTTAAGCATTCTTTGAGTGCATCAACAAATATAGCCATGTAGGCAATTTTTTTTTTGTTAAAAAATGAGCCTTCACTGGAGAAAGATATCCAGCTGTTTACTAATTGGAACTGGCCTTTGCTGAATGCCAATTTTCAGAGGACTGTGTCTTTATGTTGAACTTTAAAAAGAATCCTTCTTCACTTGATGGATTTCCTCTGGAGATTCTTCACCCCCAACTGCTCCTAGTAACAGGGTTTGCATAGCTGTTTATGAGGTTTTGGGTTTTTTTTAAAATAGTATTGGGAGCTATGAAAAGATCAGGCAATTGCTTCCTCTCTTCTGGAACAACCTACCATGGAGAGCCAGACTTTCCCCTCCATCTGATGTTTCCAAAATGCATTTAAATATGGCCCTTCTGAAAGGCTTTTGAGGAACAGGTAAGGCGATCCAGCCCCAAAATGGAGCTGCTATTCATTGTGGATGTGTCTTTTCATGTATGCTACCTTA